CGTTTTTTTATTCTTTTCCCCTGTTTTAGGCCGATAGTCCCGCAAGGAATAGTTCCGGCATGAAAATTGGCCAGCAAAGCATTCTCTAGTAGTAGGATTCGTTAGCGACATGTAGGAAGAATCGAAACTCAATTTCGAGTTCGAACGAGTCCTAACGGTCCCAATATGCGAAGTCGTGCAAGAAAGCCGCCAACTTCAGGTCAAGAGCTTTGGGATAATAGGTTTTCATAAATAGGTTGGATTTGAAAGCATAATTATATAGAAAGCTTCGTCGCGACATGTAGAAAAAACAGAATTTAATTTCGAGTTCGGACGAGCCCAAACGAGCCCGAATTTTGCTAGTTTTCTTCGTTTTTTTTATTTTTTTCCCCGTATTTGGCCGGAAGCCCCGCAAGGAATAGTTTCAGCCCAAAAATTGGTTAGAAAAGCATGCTCTAGTAGTAGGATTTGTTGGCGACATGTACGAAGAATCCAAACTCAATTTCGAGTTCGGACGAGTCCGAACGGGCCCGATATGCGAAGTCCTGCACGGAAGCTGTCAACTTCAAGTCAAGAGCTTTGGGAGAATAGGTTTTCCAGAATAAATTAAATTCGAAAGCATAAATACATAGAAGGTTTCGTTGGCGACATGTAGGAAAATACAGAACTCAATCCCGAGTTCGGACGAGCCCTAACGAGCCCGAATTTCACAATCCGATCTAAAAAAAATAATTGAAAAACAGATTTTGAAAATCCGTTAAAAAAATTATGGAAATCCGTTTTTCTAATAAAAACAGATTTCCATAATCTGTCTGTTTGATTTTTGTCCACAATATTTTTTTTCTTTTATTTCTTGCCACAAATTTTTTTTTTTAATTAAATAAGCGGCCCAAAGAAAGCCGCATTAAAGTACGTTGAATAATTCGCTAGTTTTACTTTCTTCCTTTTGGTAACCTTTCAAAAAAAAAAATAAAAAAAAATTAATTAAATTATTATTAAAGAATAAATCAAATATGCATGGAAAGTCAAGTGACAGACGAGACATCATCAAATCCACTTGTATTTAACTATTTATTAGTATTCTTGAAATTAGATAATAAAGAAATTCCTATCCAATTAGTAATGATTTCAAATCGTACAAAATCAGGTCCTTGACTGCAATACAAAAAGTTATGATGCCTAATAAGTCGAAAAATATGATAATTATTTATCTTCTTTTCTTAAAAGTTGTCAACTTAAAAGTTAGAGCAATCAAAATGTTTAAGGCATGCATGGATATAGATATATCCACTTTTGATTTTTTTTTTTTAAATAATGATTAATTTTGAAAAAATTAATTTGATTGTTTTTAGTGGGACTTTAAATTAGTATTTAAATAATATTTAAAATAAAATAATTAAAGTTACTTGNNNNAAAAAAAAAAAAAAAAAGAAAAAAAGAGAAAAAGTGATTGTAGATATGGAGTTAAAATTATGTGAGTGGATGAATAGTAATTTAAAGTTAACGTGACTGTAAGGATTATAATGATATTATTTAGAATAGAAGAATTGAATGAAAATTGAGTTAGATTTTGAGTTGAGATGAGATTTGGGTGTGATCTATATCCACTTACTCTCTTAAAAGTTTGCTTTTGATTAGTTATCACTATCTAACACAAGTTTAATTATGGTCAGAACATGTTAAATGATTTTTTATTTGTTGCGAATAATTTGTTAGTATTAGTCAAATATTGCGGACTGTAACAATTGCCATTATTCTCTCCTGTGAGAGCTCGAATTCTCTCATGTGAGATCTCTCCATTACCTTGGTGAGGATTAAATTCCTTTGTTGAAGAAATATATTTGTCGAGAGTATTAGCTCCAGTTTACGCTTAGTCTTTATATTGGGGATTTATTAGGTTTTGTTTGCTATGTCGTTTCCAGTTACGGGAAATGGGGAGGATGATTTGGTAAAGAAATTAGATAGTGTCTCTTTGTCCAACAAGGAAGAAGGAGATACCGAAATTGTGGGCAAGGATATTCTAGTTGGGGAAGAGGATGTCGGGCGAAGTCTATTTGGGAAAATTATTGGCGATAGAAAGGCAATGCTTCTGGGAGTTAAGAGAACCATGTCAGCAATATGGAGGATTCAACAGCCAATGGAAGTTCGAGAATTGGACTCCAATTTCTTTCAATTTGTCTTCCAGTCCAAGGAAGATTTGCCGAAAGTAGCGGCCAGAAATACCTGGTTATTTGAAAATCAATATTTAATCTTGAAGGAATGGAGAGAAGGGATGAGCTCTAATCATCTTTGTTTTGATGAAGTGGTGCTGTGGGTACAAGTCCATAATGTACCATTGAACTGGATCTGTACGGACGTGGGCCTGAAGGTAGACAATGTATTTAAGGGGGTTAAGAACGTGGTGATACATCAATCCAGTAATGTAGCTGGTAGACATCTGAAGCTTCTTGCAGTTATTGATTTAAATGAAGCCATACCAAGATGTACGCACATTCGATTGGAAAATCAGCGGGTGAGGGTGAATTTCAAATACGAAAGGTTAGTCAATTTGTGTTATTATTATGGCATGATTAGTCACTTAGATAGGATCTGCAAAAAAACAACCTCAGACATTGGGAATCACAAAATGCAAGAGGGGCAGTATGGGGAGTGGCTAAAGGCTTCTATGTTCAATTCAAGTAGTCACAGTGGTCCTTCATCTGGGTCAGGCCTAAATGGGACGAATTCTCCTCCTCCAAAGCCTAATTCAGCAGCTTCAAACGCAGAGTTCAAGAATCAGGAGAAACAGACAGGAGAGAGCTCGAAGATGCAAGAGCTGGAATTTATACCAGATGGTGGCAAAGGGGAGAGTGGCACAGAAAAGGGGAAGGATGTGGAACAAGGGGATGTTGGAAAGAAACTGGAAAGAAGTATTGATTTATCTATTTCTCATGAACATGGACAAGATTTGGAGACACCCTCTCCCAGAGAAGGCATAGAGACAATGGAAACTGAAGTACTTCCCAATAGCCTGGTACAAGTAAGGGCAGAACATCTCGAGGATCCTTCACAATCTCATCAGAAACCTAAGGTTAGCACATGAAAGAGAATTTCAATGGAGGATAGAATTGAATCAACAGGAGTTCAGACTCACAAGAGGAACATTGAAGAGATTCTTCATATAAATCAGACAGAAGATGAACTTTCAGGCCATCAGACAGGAAAGAAGTTGAAAGTGACTGACGTAAGGGTGGAGGTGACCAACCCACAATGGTCACAGAGTGATCAATGAATGCTCAGGTGTGGAACTGTAGAGGTTTGGGTGGCCCCTCTACAGTTCCCCAGCTCAAGGAGTCCTTGAGGACCCATCACCCCCATTTTGCCTTTCTTTCGGAAACTAAAAAACAAAATAATTTCGTTACTACAGTCTGCAAAAAAATTGGTTATCATAACAGGTTTGCAGTGGTGGATCCAGTTGGCACTAGTGGAGACCTTCTTCTGTTATGGAGTGAGGAAGTGACAATCATTCAACTTCGAAAGCACTCTTTCTGCATTGAGGTGTAGTTTCAATGTCAGAATCAGGAAGATATTCGTTGGGCTTGCTTTGTTTATATTAACACTGACAGGAAAATCAGAGAAGAACAGTGGAAACAGTTAGAGGGAATGAGATCATTATGGAGAAATGTGTGGACTGTTATTGGAGATTGGAATGACATCAGTAGTGCGGAAGAGAAAAAAATGGGGCAGGCCCAGATCAAATGCAAGTCTTGAGGGGTTTCAAGAGTTTATAGCCAAGATGTCAATGCAAGAAGTAAAGGCCAGAGGGCACCCTTACACTTGGGGCAACAACAGGGAGGGTGAAGGTTTTGTGGAGAAAGTTATGGACAAGATGTTTGTATCATTAGACTGGCTAATCAAATATCCCAATACTCAAGTCACTAATGTATACAAGAGCTCTTCTGATCACTGTTTGTTAGCTGTTGATTCACTGCCCAAAGGTCAGAAATATAAAAAAAAAAAAAGATTCCAGTTCGATAAGAGGTTTTTGAACAATGCAAAAGCAGTGGAAGTTGTCAATGCAGCCTGGAACCATCCTCAATCAGGAACACCTTTCTACAGAGTCAAAGAGAGAATAAAGAAAACTAGATAGGCACTTCTGACCTGGAATAAATTCTTTATAGCAGAGAAGGACAAAAAAAAGGCCAGGTTGTCCTTAAGATTAAAAGAGATGAGAAAGGAAGCTGGAGACAGGAACTGGAAGGAATGGGATCAAATTCACAGAGAAATCAAACAATAATATCAATCTGAGGAAGTGTACTGGCAGCAAAAAGCAAGAGTCAATTGGCTTAAAGAATGAGACAACAATACCAGGTTTTTTCATGCATATGTTGTTCAAAGGAGAAAACTTAATGCTATCAGTCGCCTTGTTAATGAGCACAACATTGAGATCGAAGACAGAACAGAGCTGAGACAATATGCCTCCTTTTTTTATGAGCAACTCTTTACCACAGAGGGAGCAAGAGAAGGAGAGGATCTTCTACAAAACATTCCTACTACTGTCACACCTCAGATGAATGAAGATCTAGTCATGCCAATTTCAGAAAAAGAGATCAAGGTGGCCCTTTTCAGTCTGAATCCTTCAAAGTCTCCAGGAACATATGGTATGTCACCCCTGTTCTTCCAACATTTCTGGCCTCTAATACAGAATGAGTTATGTCAGGCAGTGGAAAGTTTCTTCACGAATGGGTGGTTGTTGAAATACTAGAATCATACCCTCATTACATTGATTCCAAAGTGCAAGAATCCTACTACACTTAGCCAGTTTAGACCCATCAGCTTGTGCACTGTGGTGTATAAGATCATTGCAAAAATTTTAGCTGCCAGACTAAAAATTCATTTACATGGCTGTGTAGATCAAACTCAAGCAGCTTTTATACCAGGTCGTCAACTGAGTGACAATGTGGTCATAGCTCAAGAGGTGTTCCATTTTTTGAACAGGCACAGAACTGGGAAACACAGCTTCATGGCAATCAAATTGGATATTCTTAAGACCTATGACAGGCTAGAATGGAAGTGTATTTACCAGACCATGCTCAAAATGGGTTTTGACACTCAATTTGTCAGATGGATTATGGAGTGTGTGTCAACTATTTCATTCTCTGTATTGATCAATGGAGAGGCTTGTGGTTACTTTAATGCTAGCAGAGGAGTGAGGCAAGGAGATCCAATTTCAGCATATTTATTTATACTTGTCTCTGAGCCATTGTCAGCCCTTTTAAAATTAGAAGTGGAAAGAGGTCATTTCAGAGGAGTGTCCTTGGCCAGAAATGGACCTGTTCTATCTCATTTATTGTTTGCCGATGACACCTTGATCTTTTGCAAAGCATATGCTCATCATGCTAGGGTGCTAAGAGGAATTCTGACTAAATACCACAAGTTTTTAGGGCAGCAAGTGAACATGGCAAAATCTTCCATTTTCTTTAGCAAAAATGCCAGTGCTGATCAGCAAGAGCAAATCTGTCATGTGCTTAGTGGTATTAGAATAGAGAAGTCAACCAGATATCTGGGATTGCCATTGGGCATTGGTCAGAACAAAAAAGAGGTCTTCAGTTATGTTGTGGAGAAAGTCAGGCAGAGAATCATTAGTTGGAAGAATGTGTATTTATCCACAGCTGGGAAGGCAGTGTTGATATATGCAGTTCTTAATGCTTTGCCTATCTTTGTCATGACTTGTTTCAAATTACCAGTGGAGATCTGTAAAGAGATTGCTAGGATTTTTGCTCAGTTCTGGTGGAGCAAAAGAGGAGATAGAGAGAAGGGCATTCATTCGAAAAGCTGGGATAAGGTCACCATCTCAAAAGATCTTGGAGGGCTGCATTTAAAGACATTAAACTATTCAATCAAGCCTTACTGGTGAAGTAACTGTGGAGAATTGTCACTCAACCTGAGTTGCTGATGAGTCAAGTGATCAAATCTAGATATTTCCCACATTATTCCATTTTTGAAGCAAAAATCAACAGCAACTCTTCTTGGCAATGGAGAAGTTGGGGGAAGGTCAGATGGCTTCTTCAAGAGGGGCTGAGAGTTGAGGTTAGAAATGGGAACTCTGTCAGAATCCAAGACCACAACTTGATTGATGGTGTTTTGAAAAGAAAACCCCTTCTAAAAAATGCAGACAGAGATTGACAAATGTGGGTGAGAGAGCTGCTGGATGCCAGTGGTTTCATGTGGAATGAGCAGAAGGTGAGGGATGTTTTTCAAGATAGAGACAGCTCATCAATTCTAAGTATGAATACCCTTGACCCTTCTCAAGAAGACAGGTGGAGATGGAATTTATGTCCCAAGGGCAAGTTTAGTGTGGCAGCCTCATATTCATTTCTAATGAGTAGAAAATTTCTTCAACTTGATATGGTTGAAGGCAGTTCAACAGCAAAGAAGGATAAAATGGTCAGGCACAAAAGCTGGGCTTTGAAGGTAGCAGGCAAGATAAAGCATTTCGTGTGGCGATGTGTAAATGGTATACTCCCAGTCAATGTGAATCCGAAGCACAAAGGTGTTCATGTGGACATCATGTGCAAGGGATGCAGTGAAGCAGTGGAGACAATAGAACATGTTTTCTTCCATTATAGGAGGGCAAAATTAACTTTGAAGCATTCTCCAATTAGCTGGGATGGAATAAATACTCAAGACTGTTATTTTAGAGATTAGTGGAATCAGGTATGTAGCCACTGCGAATATGTTGAGAAACAAACATTAGGTTTTGTCATCATAGACAAACTGCTTTTTCTGTTCTTTTGTAAGAGGTGTTTTCGTTTTTCTTTATTAATTTCTTTAAACACAATTTCTACTCATTAGAAGAGGATTTTTTTGGATCAACGTATTTTATGTCGTGGGGGTAGGCTTGCTGCTTGCTGATATTAAATCTGAAGGAGGATTTTGTTATTTAATTATTTAATGCATCTCGGGCATTGTATTCGTCGGAAAAAAATAAGTTTCTGGAAAAAGTCGCCGGTATCATAGATGGCGGATGTCGTCTGGTGCGCGGCGGCACAAGGACTCTGGAGGTGTGCTCGGATTTTGGTGGGTCGCCGTAAATCATCGGAAGATTGAAAAGAAGACATTTTTCTAGATCTAAAAATTTTGACCGGAGCAATTGACGACCTTACTTGTAGAATTTTTGCCGTAAATTTTAAGTGGTGAACGACGATGAGAAGAGCTTCAAGATGATGTAAAAAAATTTCCGATCGGAGGCGGCCGACAAACGGCGGCCAACAGACGGTGACAGTGGATGATGGAGGCTCAGTTTTTGAAAATTTTGAAATAGCATGGGCTCGAAATTTAATAAATTATGGGGGTGTATTTAATTAGGATTTCTAAAGATTTTTTAAGACTTTTAAAAATCTTGGGTATCCAATTTAGATTTGTTAAAACTTTAAAAGTCTTGTAGTATTCAATTAGGATTTTAAAAAATCTTAGTGTATTTAATTTATTTGAAACTAAGTTTTGTTAAGATTTGGTGGGATTTCAAAAAAAAAAAATCTTATACGAAATCACACTTCAAATACCACCTTTAGACTAACGATTTCACATAATTTTTTTTCTAAAATCTTGAAATTTTAACAAATCTCAAATAAACCAATTGAATACATCCCTATATGAATATTTTGCAATTTAGAAAGTTTTTGTTAATTCCAACTAAGATAAAATACACGTCATGTAAACATTTAGTCCTGCCACATAAACCACAATCACGCCATGTCAATAAAATACATGCCACATCACGTTTTTTTATCCAGGCTGCAGATAAAAGAGGACCAGAATCAATTAAATTGTCAAACTATTGAACCCAATTTATAAGTGGTTAATGACAGGTTTTGTACATTGGCCAAATTATAAGTCCAACTTTGAAACTTAATAGTCTGGCTTATTTGAAGGGTTCATTTATTGAAACTAAACATGTTAATAAGATAAGATGAAAATATTATAAAAGTGTAATATAATATATACTATGCACAATAAAAGGACCCGTAGTACTAAAAACAAACAAATTTCTAGCCTATTTTATTGATCAGCTAGCCAGGTCAAAAAGATCCCTTGCTAACA